CACTGGTGTGTGGTCACCCCGTCTCTGCCTGCGGCAGGGCCTGGAGCCCGGACGTGCTTGGCAGGCTGCCAGTGCTTACTTAGTAGGACGCTCTGCCACTCCCTCTGGCCCCTCTATTCTGGGAGCTGTAATTTAGACAGCCTTCCCCGCCCCAATTGCTATCTGTGGCACCAGTCACCCTTCCTGAGAGCCCTGCCCACCCCACTCTAGACTGCCTTTTCATAAACAGCTCCCAGCCTGCCCTGTTATCTTGGGCGCCGTGGCTCTGAGGAGGAGGACCTGCCACCCTGGAGATACAAATGGCCCCTCAGTCCTGGGGGACGCTGGCCTGATGTGGGCAGAGGCGGCATGGAACCCTCACCCACGAGAGCCCAAGATAGCAGCCTTCAGAAGCTGACCTTGAAGTCTGCCAGGGCGGGGTACAAAAAAGAGGAGAGCCTGTCATTATCCCCCCAACACCCTAGGGAGTGGGTCAGCCTGGGTCGTGGTCTCCGCAAAGGCCCCTGCCTCAGCTAGGCGTGTTCAGCCACAGGGCCATGAAAAGGGGTGTGGTCAGTCAGTAACAGCAACAATAGTGATGTTTCTAAAATGCAAATGTGATTGTGTCAATCCCTGGCTCCAAACCTTCAGTGGTTTCCCATGGCCCTTAGGGATAGTGCTCCCAAGACCCTCTTCCCCTGCCCTTTCTACCACTTCTCTCACCTCAGGACCTTTGCACAAGTTTTTCCTGTGCCTGGACAAAGTTTTCTTCTTCCTCTAACTCCTACTCATCCTGCAGGTCTTGGCTTAGAAGTCACTTATGGAACCTTCCCCTGACATCACCACACATACACACTCATCCTGGTCCTCCCCTTGGACTGGGATGGGTGTCCCTCCCATGTTCACCAGAAGCTCCAGGCTCTTGTCTATGCACCCTGTCTGTCTCTCTAGCTGACTATAAACACTCCTAGGGCAGGAACTCTGTCTGCTTGTATCGTTTCTCAGTCCTGGCATACAGTGTAGATGTTCAAGGAAAATTTGTTGAAGGAATGTATGAATGAATGACTCCTCTGCCCCTTCAGTATGAGTGGGTCTCCTGGGTGGGTATTTGCTAGTTTGTTCCCTTCATTTTTCCAGAAGGCCTCAACTTCAGTCCCTTTGTCCTCTAAACATAACTTCAGGCTTGCTGCACTGTCTGTCCATCCTGATCTGGAAAATATGGTTGCTATGGCCATGGGCCTGCAGTGGGAGACCCAAAGAGCTCTCAGGATGCACTGTAGAACAAGAAGAGCATCCTTGGGTTGACAGGGCAGAGGGCACAGAAAGAGGGAGTCCTCAGGCTATGGGTCACTTATAAGCAACACATCTGTTACCGGAGGCAAAGCTGGTGTGCATGCCCAGTGGGCAGGGCAGGTTCTCATTTTGGCAGTTTCTGCTGTGATGTAGATACGCTGTGTATTTTGCTTGCTCCAAAGAGGAAACTGCAAAGAATAACCTATAACTATAGCAACAAGGCTTCAGTTAGATTATTCACCTGTTATTCCTATAAATTATTGGAAGATTTCTGACATTTGAATCTTTCTGCATCCAAATTGCATTTCTTTCACCATTTCTCTCATCTTGCAGTTTCACTTGAATTTTCCCCAGATCACCTGGAGGCTGGGAAAATATGGTTACTGAAGAGATGTACCTTGGCTTCTGCACAATGCCTCCTTCACACAGACCCCCTCCCTGCCCCCCGCGATTCCCCAATACAGTGAGAGAGGGGACTACACAAAGGTGTGAACACCAGGTATGGACATTGAGGCCATCTTGGAGGCTGGCTACCACAATCTTCAACACATATCTGGCACACAGAAGATGCTCAAGAAACAGCTGTTGAGCGGCTCAGTTGGTTAGCTCAGTTGGTTAGAGCACAGTGCTCATAACACCAAGGTTGCCGGTTCAATCCCTGCATGGGACACTGAGCTGCACCTTCCACAACTAGATTGAAACAACTACTTGACTTGGAGCTGATGGGTCCTGGAAAAACACACTGTTCCCCAATAAAAATCTAAAAATAAAAAAAGAAAGAAACAGCTGTTGAATGAAAGACAGAATGATTTCAGCAGCATGCCTAGTGTGGGCTTCAGTTCTCATGGGGAACCAATAGCCCTGACCATCCTGAAGGATCTTAAACACATTTAGCTCTCCCCAACCCCACACCCTGCCCCCAAGATGCCCTCTTATAATTCATTCAGCTCCACTTCGTCCCAGCTGTGTAAGCTTGGGCAAGTTCCCAAACTCACAGGCTTGTTGTAGGGATTAAAGGAATGAGGGTATAAGCATCACAGTGCCTGACACACATAAGCCTTCCATAAGTGTAGCCATCATGGGCAATACCGTGTATTATTAATACTGGAGGGGAAAACCAAGTATCTTCCCCTGGAGTCGGGAGCAGTTTCAGAGGCGGGCAGAGCCAGGGTGTTGGTGTGAATGTGTGTAAATGTATGTTTCTATATGTTTGATCTTCTGAGAGCAGTGACTGAGAGGAGCTGTCCAAGGTTGGCAGTACCTCGGTCGGGTCATGTGGTCCAGACACCAGGTTTATCACTTGGGCCAGAGATGGTCACGTGCTGGGGCCTTAGTCACCCAAACAGGCAGGAAAGACTGATGAGCACTTGGGCTGCTGTCCATTTACACTAAGCAGTTTGTGGTACAGCTATGCTTCTGAAACTTTTTGCAGGGAGGGGAGGAGAGGGTAACCGGTGTCACGGAGACTTTTGAACATTTACATGAAAAACGCACGTTTGTACATAAACACAAAAAGTATCTATAATAAGCTCCGGACATTCACGATGGACCATAGCTTCAAAATGCTGGCACTGGACTGTGGCCTCCTTAAAGGCAACGACTAGAGCTTGTGTCTCCTGAACAAATGCATGAATACATGTATGAATGAATGACTAAAAAAAGAACAAACGAATCAAATAACTGGCAAAAGGGCCAGAATCTTGGAATCTTTGCGGTTAGCTGCACACCTTCCCCCCTTGTACAACTGCCCCCAGAAAACTGACCGGCTTCAAACACCTGCATTCAAGTTTTGCCTTAGCCACCTTACTAACTATATGACCTTGGACTTGTCACCTTACCTCTCTCAGCCTCATTTGTTTCATCAGGAAAATAATGTGAATTACAGAGTATTTTGTAAGCTACAAAGCCTACTAAAATCACGAGGGACTCTTATTTTGGTTGCACTCTTATTCTGGTTGGTGCATCTGGATTTAGGCAAAAAGAATGGAATGTTCATATCAACCTGCCCTCAAGTCCCTCCAGCTTCCATCAGCACAGACCTGCCTTGGGGATGGGAAGATTCCTGGGTGGGGCAGTTTGCTGGAAGGAAGGAAAAATCAGGCTGAGCTGCCAGGGCTGTCCTTAGTTAGCATATCAACAGTCAGTTGGCCAAGCAACAAACAGAGGCTGGGACCGCTGGTTCTGGTCTCATTCCAGGCCTACGGTCACACGCTACACAAATAGACTAGACTGAGAATTCTGCAATCATTCAGGCAACAAATATTTATTGAGCAGCTACTCTAGGTTAAGGCCTGTTCTAGGTGCTGGGGATACCATGGAAGCAAACCCACTATGGTCCTTATCCCCTTGGAGCTGACAATCTGATGGACGCAGATATTAGTCAATCACCCAAGAAGTACAGGGTGCTGTGCAGATGTGTAACGGGAAGTTATGATCTGGGGTTGGGGGGGAGGGGAGGACAAGTTTCCTTTTAGACGAGAGACGTATGAGCTGAACCTTGAACTCAATGAGAGGCAATGGACGGGGTGGAAGTACTCTGGGCTGGGTGTGTCACAACGTCTGACACACACAGCGAGTGCAAGGGGCCTGTGGTAGCACATCTGAAAATCTGAAAGAAGGCTGGTGTGGTTAGAGTACACAGAGTGAGGAGCAGAGGGATGCAAGATGTTACCGGGGACATCAGGCAGGCAGAGACTCAATCACCTTGTTTTCTTTCATGTGGGATTTGCACAAAGGGACTTGCGTGGCAGATTTCAAGTCTCTGAATAGCGTTACACAGGAGGGTGCCTCATGAGGAACAGAGCGAAGAAATAAAATGACATCACCGGAGTCAAGCTGCTAAATTACTAGAATCAAGTAGGTTGAGGCACGAGGAAACGATTTTTGTTTTAACTAGAAACTTAAAATTTTCAACTTTACAGACCTAGGTAAGTGCCTGGATTTACATCACATCCCCAGATAGCCCCACCACCCCCCCTGACGGACTAAGGAAAGAAGAGTGTTCACTATCCAGACCGCCTGCTATTCATTACCCAGACCACCAGTCATCTCAGATTCTAGATTCGAGAGCAGCGCTTCTCAACCTTCCTCATGCCGCGACCCCTTAATACAGTTCCTCATGTTGTGGTGACCCCCAACCATCAAATTATTTTCGTTGCTGCTCTAGAACTGTAATTTTGCTACCGTTATGAATCGTAATGTAAATATCTTTTTGTTTTCTGATGGTCTTAGGCGACCCCTGTGAAGGGGTCCTTCGACCCCCAAAGGGGTCGCGACCCACAGGTTGAGAACCGTTGTTCTAGAGTATTACCATCTCAGACCAATCTAGAAGCTGGAATGCAAGACTGATTCTTCTCGAGAATGTGCTTTTTCCTGTAAGAACTCAGCTTTTCATCCTTCTTCGGAACAAGCCTCCAGACTCTTTTTGAGTTCTTGTGACAAATGAGAGAAAGTACCCTCAGTGGGATTTGAGTCAGAGAGAAAGGACTTCCTGGCCCAGACGGGCCTCTGGGGGCTTGCTTTCTCTACTTCACCCGTTGTGGGTGTCTGCCAAGTAGCAGGAAGGGGGTTTGTTTGTTTGTTTGTTTGTTTGCTCATTCACTTCTCTGTCCTGTACCCTCGGCCATATTACTCCTCATCCCTGTTGCTTATTGAGGGAGGACAGTGGACCGCTCTATGAAAAAAACAAAAATTCCACCGAGTCAATTTGAAGATCTAATTGGCTTTATTAAGCAATTCATGAATCAGGCAGCTTCCCACCTAGCAACTAGAAGGGCATGGAAAGTTTATAGGAATAAGGGTGGGGCAAGGGAGCTATTGACAAAAGAAAAGGATTATTTGGGGGCTGGGACTTTTTTTGTGTGGGGAAGAGAAAGGAAAGGGTTTTTATCACGCAGATCACCTCTTCTTTCTATGCAGGATGGACAGGGCCCATGTGACAGGTTACCTTACTGATGCCTGACCAGAAAATTCCAGACTGATTAAGATTACATTTCTGGGAAAGGTTGAAACTGCAATTAGATCAGGTATGAAGGCCATTTTGGGCTGTGGTTTTTCTCTTTAATCGCTCTGTGAGAGTTAAGTCTGTTGTATGGAAAAGAGCTGGAACTGGGGAAGGCAGGGAGGGGAAGGTGTAGATAAGGATGAGGGAAGGTTTTCCTGGGTTGTCTCTAGGCTGCACAGAGGAGGTGGAGAGGACAGGGGAGGGGACAGCCGGCACAGCCAAGAACAGGAGTTGGGATGGGACACGAAGGGGACTGGTCAGGATGGGACATCTCCAGATGATTATGAGCCTCCTCTTCATGCTGGAGGCTCCGCAGGTCCCAGCTGCCTTACCTGCTGAAGGATGAGAATGAACTGCCCTCATGCCAATTGTTCCTGTCTAACCCTTTTTTGGGAAGGCCCGTTTGATTGTCTGGGTCCCTTCTCTAGACTGTAAGCTCCTTGGGGGCAGGGTCTGTGTCTTGTTCAATAGCCTATCTCCCAGTGCCTGATGCAGTTAATACTTGTTGAATGAATGAAACCACAAACAAATGAATACTGTATTGTAGAGATGCTTTAGAGAGCAGGTGACTGTCCACAGCTACGGATGGGCTCCAGCTCTGAAGATCTGAACCTTGACCTATATTATTGTCAGAATCTTCCAAGGACCAGGGTGGGGGTGGGGCAGCATTCTGATCCATAGAAGGATCTCTCGAAGCTCAGAAACTTTTAAGGCAGGCCATGTGATATTCTGGTTAACAATGTAGCTCTGTAGCTGACTGCCTGACTTTAAGTCCTGCCTCTGCAATGTCCTGGCTCTGTAACCTAGGACACATCACATTACCACTCTGTGCCTCATTTTTCTCACCTGTAAAATGGTGGAACTAATCGATGACGGGGTTGAGGTGAGAATGAAGAGAGCTGAGCCTTTTAGAACACTGCTTCGCACATAGTAGGTACTCCATCAGTACTAGCGATAGTTGCCTAGGAAGGAGATGAGCGACCTGGAAAGAGATTTGTTCAGCCTTGGTCCCAAGCCCCCAGCACAATGCCTTAGACCCAGCGCGCCCTACAGCAGATCTTGCCTGAATGGGGACACTCCCAGTGGCCTCTTCCATTAAGCCTACCCACATCAGCCTCTGGATCACCGAAGGCACTTTGCCTTCTACAGACAGAATTGCAAACTTCACTATCTGGGCTGACTGCCACTTGCTACACAGCATCCTTGGGCAAGGTGCTTTCTTAATGTCCCCAAGCTTCCGCTTTCTCATTTGTAAAAACAGGAATGCTACACTCATCTGCTAGGTGTGGGGATTATGTGCCCAGCACCCTGTTGATCTTTCCTCAGGTACACAAAACTTGGGCAGATTTGCCTCTCCCTCTCACCCTGTTCCTCCCCACACCAGGCCACCTGGAAAGCAGGGAGCCAAGTTCGTGGACTCCGAACTTGCCTCTAACACCCGAACCTTAGGCAAGTGTCACAGCCTCTGTGAAGACCAGCTGGATAGCTCCATCCCTGGCTGGCTGAGTCAGGGTTCACCAGGGACTTATCCCTGTCACCTCAGATGACTCCTGTCCCCACAAGCTCCCAGCCAGAATGGCAGCCCTGAGTTCTAAGGTGAACCCCACAGGAGAAGAGGAAGTTCTGCAGCCTGCGGGCTGGGCAGAGGCCTCAACCTGCGGGGTCTGCGATGGGAGTGGGAGGTGGGATTCTCATTTCATTTCTGTCCTTGTCTTTAAGCACATGGCTGATCATCTTTCTTACTTACTGGCACAAGGAGAGGGAAAAGTTTTAAAGATAGAATTGTGCACTGAAATTTTTAGTGTAGGGAGAACTCGGAATGTCTACATTTCTTTCACAAAGGCACTTTGCTGGAAGGCAGAGTTGGGCAGTAAGAACTCACTATATCCCTGTAGGCAGCAACACAAAGTCATCTGCCCACCCCTTTCCCCAGTCCCATCAGGAATTTGGAAACAAGGTTAAAAAGGGATGCTAATTGCATCAAAGAGTTGAGATTTGACTCTACTGCCTCCTGGGGACGTGTGACCCTGGGCAAGTCACTTGATCTCTGAGTCTCAATTTTCCTGTTGTAAAATGGGGATAATTCTGGAGTGACTCATTAATGTGAAGGTTAAATGAGGGAACACAAATGGAACACAGCAGGGGACTTGTTTCATTCAACAGCAAACATCTAAGGCCTACTGTGTGCCAGGGTCTATATGCTAGAAAATAGGGGGACATTAATATGTAAGACAAACATGGACTCCACTGTCATGTTGCTTGCAGGAGAGTAGGGGTGGCAGGCACTGAATGAGAGAGATGGTGTGGGATAATAGTTAAGGCAACCAGATTGGAAGCCCAGCTCTACCAGTTCATTCACCGGCTGGGTGACCCTGGGCCAGCTCAACTGTCTGTGCCTTGATTCCCCAATAGTAAAATGAGCCATGCACCCAGGTCATAGGGTGGTGAGGATTACATGAATTGACAAATGGGAAAATATTTACAGCATCTACTGCGTGTTCTGGCAGCACACAGGTGATCAGTATAATAAATGGAGCTGCAGGATGTGCAACAGGGCACGAGATGATGTTGAGGCTGAGGTAGCCCAGCAAATGGGACAGGTGTGTTCCTGAGGAGGGAGGTCCCAAGGAAAAAGCAGGGTGTGCTGGAGAGCCGGAAGAAAGGGTGAGGAGTGAAAGTGGGGGTGAGATGAAGTGGAACAGCAAGCCAGTTTCAGGAGCTGGGGCACTAGGAGTTACTGTCAAGGGTTTTAAGGATCAGGTTGGCAGCTCTAAAGCGTTCATCACGGCACAGGTGTCCTGTTCATTAATGCACCCCCCAGCCCCTGGCGCCGAGATTAGGGTAATTCCTTGCTGAGCCTCCCTCCGGCCTCTCTGGTTTCCAACCCCACGACTTCCAGATCACTCAGGGCCTTTACATTTGTTGGCTGTCTTCAAGGAGTGGAGCAGGGGAGACAGGGAGGACTGAAGTTAGACCCAGCACCTACAGTCTCCCCATCCACACAGCCCCTTTGTGATCCCATGAGTCAAGTGTGCCTGGGCTTGAACTCCCACAAATGATTCCTCCTGAGTGTTGTGAACATTCAACCATGAATGCGGCAGCCGAGTACAGTGCCCCAGTTCATAGTATGTTCTCAGTAAACATAAGCTTCACCTCTTTCCTCTCTAAACAGAATATTCTCTCCTCCTCACCACCAGGCTGTGAGGGCAGAAACGGGGTGGTAGAGTGTGGCTGGGAACAGACTCTTAGGAAGCAGAAGAGAAAGTGGCTATTTTATTTACAACACTACTCGCAAAGGGGCGAACTGTTCAGTCCCTAACACAGTGTTTATAGAGTGGGAAAGCGGGAGTCTTTCCTGTCCATCCCGGGTAATCTGTAACGCGGAAAGGGTCCCAAAGACCGGGACGGGGTGCCGTGACTCCGCCTGCAGGGCAGAGAGCACCTGGCTACACGCACGTGGGAGAGAAACCGAGGAACTGCTTTCCCTGGGCTGGGTAAACCGGTGCCTACCACTGGGCTTAGGGGCAAAGAACCACCAAAGGAAAGCTGAAGGTGGGGGGTGCATTTCTGCTCATCTCAGGATCAGAGCCCTGCAGGCGGCGGTTGAGAGTCCACAACCCTGGCACTCCTGGGTGTGTGGGCGGGGACTTACCCAAAGGCCTGCAGCCGCTCTAATGAGGGTGCCCCCAATCCACGCTCCTCCGAAGGGTTGCACTCCCTCTCCACCCTCCTACCCTTTCCAGCGGCGCCCAATCCCACCTTCGTTGGTGGTCCGGGAGGCTTCGGGACAGCCGGGAGGCGTGACCCGCGGGAAGCCCGCCCCTTTGATGTACGCCGGCGCCTCTGTGATTGGACAGTCACTTGTGACGTGTGGGGACTGCGGTGGGCCCGGGTGCTGCGGCAGCCGCAGCGCCAGCCGCGGCTCCGGGCTCCGGCTCCCGGGCATTTAAAGGGGACGCGGCGGCGGGCCGGGGGGATGGAGGGCAGGTGGAGGGGACGGTCCAGGCGCACATCAACCACGGCCCCTCGGGACCAGAGGGGCTCGTGAGTCGGAGCCCAGAAATCCGGGGGTGGATAAGACACCGCGTCCCCTCCAATTCCCGTAAGCACCCCTGGCAACATCCTGAGCTCAAATACCTCAGCTAGAGACCCTCTCCCCACTCTTTACACTACAAACTCAGCCGGGACAGACCTCTGCCGCCGCCGCTCCCCACGTGAGTCCTGGGATCCCCGAGGTAAGGGAGGGCTGGGGTCCCAGTGTAGAGTGGGGGCTGTATGGAGTTTGAGGGCGCTCCTTTACGCGTGTGTCAGTGGGGGAGTCCCTGGAGGGGAGGAATGTGTCCCCCTTCTTTCTCCTGCCTCAGGAACATGCTGCCCGGTATCCCTCCGTCCCCGATTCGGGAAAAGCGAAAGAATCGGTGCCCCTTTGCTCCCCGCCACCCACTAGTCCCCTCGTCTCCCCGAGCAGCGCACCCCCCGCCCCGCATTGGAGCGAAGCATCGCCAGCTGGGGGTGTGCCAGAGTGCCTGTCTTCCAGCCACCTCTAAAAATATCTCTCCCCCCATTCCAACGGCAGCTGCCACCTCCCTGCCCAGTGAGGATCCCCTCCCTGCTGGGCAAGCCCAGAGGTGACTCCAGGTCCCAGCTTCCTCATTGGCACTAGGGCTCCAGGTCATCACCTCCAGCTAGTCAAGACAGAAAGCTCACAGCCCGAAGCGGGTCTCCAGGGCAATAAGGGAAGCTTTGGCTGCAATTTTCCCAAGAAGCACCAGAACCTCCTGAGTTCTAATCCTGATTCTGATACTGTGTGGCCCAGGATGGTAGCTTGACCTCTCTGGGCCTCTTTCTCCTATTTGCTGCTGGCGGTGGTGAGCAAAGAAAAGACCATGGTGAAGTTGAGAGTGCTGTCTGGAAAAGAATTCCAACTTAGTGGCTGAATCTGGTTTCTAGTGATTGATACCAGGAGATTTGGTCTTGTAACTGTGGTATCTCTGGGGTCCTTGCCCTCCCCCCACCCCATCCTGCACACTTCCTGTGGGAAACTGTCCCAAAACTGTCCTGTGGGCTCCATTCATCCATTAAGAGGGGAACTCCAAACTTAAGGCCTATGCCAAAGAAGGGCCTGTTTCCCTCCCCCATCCCCAGGGGACCCTCCCACCCATTTCCACAAATGTCATCTAAGAGCATTTGTATAAAAAGTAGGGGGGGAAGCAGGGAGGAATCCGGGGACCTGGTGTGGAATCAGGGAGGCAGGCACCACTTTTAGATGGGACTAGTTATGGGCCCCCTGCCACCCTGAAGAAACCCTTCTCTCCTCTTTCTGCTATAGCCTGTGGAAGAAACTCAGGGATCCTGTCCCCCTTTGAAGGACTCTTATTGGTGACCACAAAACTATTTGATCACTCAGGACAGTGCTAGAGGTAAGTAACCTCTTTGAACATTACAGGAGCCAGATTCCAAAGGGGCCGGGGTCCCTTTGACTACTGTGGGACTGTGGGGTGTCACAGCATGGTCTTCTCAGTTTCTGGGGGAAGAAACCCAGGATGCCTGGTTTTCTGCTCTGGGGACTAAAAGAAACAAGGGCAACTTACCAAATAATAAATGTTTAACCAGTTTCCCTAAATACTATTATTAGTATATGAAAAGTAACAATGTCTTTTGCTATGAGAAATGAGAAGTTTTTGAGGATGATTAAAAATCAGGAGACTATTCCACCAAAGTAGAAAAAGAAACAAGGGCAAAGTAAGGAGACTCTTTTCTATGGAATGAAAGTCAGGCTCTGGATGGCTGCTAGAGATCCTCTGTATCTTTGTAGCTAAACCCTTGCTTCTCCACGTGCCTGGCATGTCTGTCCCTGTTTGCTTTTACAGCCAGAATGAAATCCCCTGACCTTTCTCTGGCCCCAGGCGGGACACGTGTTATCAGCTAGGACTCTGGAAGGCTGGAAGTCCCTCCAGATAAGGCCTGGGGACAGCCTCCAACCCTCCAAAACCTGCCATTCCCTTGTTCCTGTGCCTCCCTCCCCTTCTCTCCCACCATCTTGATCTCTGCCTCCTCTGCAAAATAAATGAGACCCACATCTTATCCCAACTGAAAGGGTTTAATGTACGTGTGGTCAGGGAGTGGAGAGGGATGGGGTACCTCAAGATGGAGGGTGATAGAGCCTCTCCATCTGACCTGTGCCCTGCGCCTGGGATGTCCCAGTCTCTGTCTTGGAGGCAATAGCTTCTCCCTGCTGTCCTGGGATGATGGACTGGGGAGAGTGTCACCTTGACAAAGTCAGAGGGGTTTCCAGTGTCATCCATTGTCACCACCAGAGGGCAGCAGCCAGCCAGACCTTTGCTCCTTTCCCTGTTTAGTCTCCTGACTCTCAGTGTCTTTCCAGATCTGTCCCAGCTGCCTCTGGCCTCTTATTCAATTCCAGGGTGGAGGATGTGTGTGTGTGAAGGGGGCCACTGGGAGTTGTAGGTGGTGTCCTTTGTAGCTCTGTTAGCGAAGGCCCCACAAAGCCAAACCTTGTCCCCAAAGCCATGTAACAAAGTCCAGTCCATAGAAATGTCAATCTGACTCTCCAGTCTGACTTCGGGGTCCTGGAAAGCACCAGAGAAGCCAGTCCCAAATCACCTGTGGTTCCCAGGGGCCTGGGTGCCCCAGCTGTGGTACAATGGGCCTATTTATGGTCCTTCCCTTGTGAAGACAGGGCAGGCAAAGCTGTGGCCAGGTGTTCAGGAGCCAAGCTCTGCCCCTGGAAACAGCATGACTGCAGGCAAGCTATTTAACCTCTCTGAGCCCTTCTCATCTGCTGAATTCAGGGGACTGTGATGAGCAGTGAGAGAATATGAGTGAAGGTGATTTGTAAACTGTGATGTACTGTACACAAGAAAGGGGCAATGATCATACTAGAGAAGAGCACTGGTCCCAGACTCAAATCTGGTTTTGAGATCGGTCTCTGCAAGTCAGCTAACCTCTCTGAGGCTCCAGTAATATCTGTAACCTCTCCAGCATCTTAGTGGATTGCTAAAAGGATGCCTAGCAAAGGCTTTATGATCTGTAAGTGCTCTGCCTGTCTGAGGAGTTGTTTTAACTGAGCCCCTGGGAGTGGTTCCTAGGGCTCAGCAGAGGGGCTAGGCCAGGTGGCATTAGTGGTGGAAATAAATCCAGCTGACAAGGCACCCTCAAATGGACCTTGTGTGGTTGTCAGGAGCTCTGGACGACTGCTAGAGGCCAACAGATCCCCTACAGGTGGTGCTCAGGGTGATGTACCAACAATGAGCGGGTGTTTTCCAGTTGCTGGCCTCCGATGCCTGTCTAGGGTAAGTGGGTTCCTCCAGGGGTCTCAGGATGAGGCCTCAGTCCCCATGTTCCCACCATGGGGTGGGAGGAACACTGTCCAGCCCCTTTCAGGCTTGCTCTCACTTCTACTGGGCCTCCACTAACCCCTCCTGTCCCAGTTGAGGGGTCCTGATGCTTTACATCCTCAACTCCAGGGACCCTGGGCCACAGAAGAGTCCCAGATGGATGTTTTTGTTGTTTTGTTTTGTTTTGTTTTAGCTGAGCCATCCTGCCACCTGTTGGCAGCTCAGCAGCAGCTCAGCTCAGGCTGGGAATTGAACTGCTGTTGCTCAGAGCTCACACTCTTGAGCGAGCTCTTAACCAACCGAGCCACTCGGCCGGCCCCCAGATGGATGTTGCTGAGACCAGTGGGTGGATGACTCTAGGATGAGGTCAAAGGAGCGTTTGTATTAGGGAGGTAGATAGCCAGGTTCGAATCCCAGCTCAGAAATTAGGAGCCTGGACCTCTGTTTCACAAGGAGTGCCAGCTGTAAACATCACACAAATATAAGAGAGGGAGTTAGGAAGACACCAGAAAGAGGAGTAGCTCCATCTAGACTAACTGGGGAGGGAGAGAGGCAGTGTGGTGGATATTCTGAAGCTGTGCATGATCTGCTCACTCTGACCCTCTGACCCATATAGCAGCTGGCGTATAGAGGTGGTACAGAGGCGGCTGAGGACTTCTGCTGTCTCCATTTGCTTGCCTTTCTTTGTGCCCTCACACTTGCCCTGTTGTCTCTATCCTCTTCCATGGTCCCCATCAACATGACTCTGGCCCAAGGTCTCCACTTTTCTGGAACTCCCCACCCCCACTCTGTCTTCCTGCCCCATCTGTCTCCATGCTCCCCCAGCATGACTTTCTCCTAGCCCCCTCCTTCCCCACCACTGCCTCATACCACCCCCACTACCTGCTGCCTCCTCCTCTGCCTTTTCAGCCACTGCTGCTCTTTTTCGTCTCCCTTACCTGTCTCCCAGGTATGTCGTGGCCTGGCACGGGAGGCTCCTACCTCCCCAAGCCCCACTGCTTCTGCTGCCCGCTTGCTTCGGACTCTGGCAGGAACCCCACCCACTGACACGGCCCTCCAGGGGAACTGGCAAGTAGACTAGTGATAAGTGGTCAACACAGGGCCCTAAAACTCCCCCGAGAAGCTGAGTCCCATCCGTGGGCCCCTGCCCAGAGCCATCTGGCTGGAAGCAGCTCCCAGGGAGCTTTCCTATCTACCTATCTGGTTATTCTGAGAGCTAAAACCCAGTTCTCTAGCCAGGGCAGAGGCCCAGGACCTACTCTCCAGACCTGAGGGTGCACACTCCTTGTCCACATAATTTGGATGGTGTCAACAAGTCTTTCCTGGAGCCTGGCTCCTTATTGTGCACCCCAGTCCACAGCCATCAGCCCATTGCCCCGAAGGGGACTTTGGAGGCTGCTTCTGTTGGGTGAATGAGTGGTTTCAAACCTGACTGTTCGTTAGGGAAGAAGGGAGTGGAGAGTCCTCTCTGCCCTCCCTGTATCCACAACTGGGATCACTAGAAGGTCTAGTTCAGAAAGCTCTCCCAAAGGGTCACCCCTTGGAAGCTGTTCTTCCTCTCTTTTAAGCTGACCCTTTTAAGGCCCAGTGACCCCAGATGAGAGTAGCAGAAACAAGTGCCAAAGAAGCCCTTCTGGGTCCAGGAGGAGGACGATCCTCTGAGGATAACCTCTCCCCCCCCCCCCCCCCCCCCCCCCCGCTGTTAACTGAGAGGTGCCAAGGGGGTGGGAGGGAGCTGGAGGGGGGGTGGCGGCGTTGGGTACTCCCCCAGCTTAACCAGCCTTGGGTCCTCCTCAGGTCTTGGATGTGCCAGCGCCTCTGGCCATGGCCCGCTAACCAGCCTCTCCCGGGCCGGCACCCGCCCTGCCCGCTGTCGCTTGCTCCCTTCTCCTCCTCCTGCTCCTCTTCCCTCTGCTCCCAGGACGGCGGGATGGCTGCGCAGGGCGCGCCACGCTTCCTCCTGACCTTCGACTTTGACGAAACTATCGTGGATGAAAACAGCGACGACTCTATTGTGCGCGCCGCGCCCGGCCAGAGGCTGCCAGAGAGCCTGCGTGCCACCTACCGTGAGGGCTTCTACAATGAATACATGCAGCGCGTCTTCAAGTACCTGGGTGAGCAGGGAGTGCGGCCTCGGGACCTGCGCGCTATCTACGAGGCCATCCCCCTGTCGCCGGGCATGAGCGACCTGCTGCAGTTCGTGGCCAAGCAGGGTGCCTGCTTCGAGGTGATTCTCATCTCGGATGCCAACACCTTCGGCGTGGAGAGCTCTCTGCGCGCCGCGGGCCACCTCAGCCTGTTCCGCCGCATCCTCAGCAACCCGTCCGGGCCCGATGCGCGGGGGCTGCTGGCGCTGAGGCCCTTCCACACGCACAGCTGCGCGCGCTGCCCCGCCAACATGTGTAAGCACAAGGTGCTCAGCGACTACCTGCGCGAGCGGGCCCACGACGGCGTGCACTTCGAGCGCCTCTTCTACGTGGGCGACGGCGCCAACGACTTCTGCCCCATGGGGCTGCTGGCCGGCGGCGACGTGGCCTTCCCGCGCCGCGGCTATCCCATGCACCGCCTCATCCAGGAGGCGCAGAAGGCCGAGCCCAGCTCTTTCCGCGCCACCGTGGTGCCCTGGGAGACCGCCACCGACGTGCGCCTCCATCTGCAGCAGATGCTGAAGACTTGTTGAGACCCGGCCTGCAAGGGGCGCCCGGGCGGAGGTGGGGGCGAGGAAGGGGGGAGATCGAGAAAAATAACCTAGTTTTATTACTCCCTTTCCCTTTTCGCTTTGGTATGTCCCTTGGAGAATTTCTAGAATTCTGGGCTCGTCCATTTTGGGGTCTGGAGGAGGGAGTTCAGACCTGTCCCTAGCTATGCAGTTAACCCAGCTCAGCTGCCTCTCCCAGATCCAGGGCAAACAGTTAAATTCTGGAGTCTGGCCCAACCTAGGTGATGTATATACCTGAGAAGGCAGCAGCGTTTCCAAAAACGTCGTCCTTCGAACTGGGAGGAGGGGGTTCCCTGGCAGGGCAGAAAAGGAACATCTCCCAGGGCTTTAACTGCTGCCTCAGGCCGTGTAACCTCCCCTCCCACAGTCTTGGGTCATGGAGACCAAGGTCCCAAAATCATCCCCGCTGCACCGGACTCCCCGCGGAGAGAGATGGCACTCTCCACCGACAGCCCCAGGCCTAGAACTTGCTTTACCAACCAGGACCCCAAACTACATCCCTTCTTGCCTCCCTTCCACCACCCACCCACCAGCATGCCCAAAGGTGAAAAAGCCAGATGGGAAGTCGCCTCCTGGTGGTGGAACGAGGTAGCTCACTGTTCACCTCAGGTACGGCCAACCAGGGACCTCGCAGCGAGCGTGCAACGGTGTCTCCTCGCACCCCAGCTTCGTCTATGCAGCAAGAGACCAGGGACTTAACCAAAGTAACCCCCCGCGGGCTGGGCCCTCTGTGCCCCCCAACCCCGCTTTTCCCGAATGGAACAGAAAGCCATGATGTTTTAAATCAGAGCCAGCGAAACCCAAACCCCTCCTCACTCTTTGGTGTTTTAGAGCTATAAAGCAGGTGAAGGGGGAAGAGGTGACTGAGATCTATGGCGCCGCCATGTGAGGGATGAAGATGAGGTTATCTCTACTCTCAGAGGGTCCCCACTTCAATGAGAGAGTTGGTCCCCACTTGCGGAATGCCCAGCTTGAGGAACCAAGACTGAACACATAACACAGGAGAAAACAACAGGCAAAAGAACACAATGCAGTCAATAGTTGCAGAGGGCATCTGGTCTAGTACAGAGGGCACATAATGGGGACCAGTGAGATGGGAGAGATACTGCTGCTGGGGGTTGGGGGCAAGGGCTCAATAATTAGCAGGAGCCTTAGAACTGAAATGTCTTTTAGTCCATCCTCTCTGCCCAACCCCTAGCTCTGCAGGGCAACCATCAGGACGTCATCAGGATTTCATTCAGAGTTGGCACTTGCAGCTGGAGACCCCACCCTCCATGGAGCAGTGATCCTCTGTGGACAAATCACCAGTCTCCTTGGCTTCCAGTTCTTTCCAGTCTGCAACAGGCCTCTGGTCACCTCTCCCCAGGACCCCTTCCCATCACAGTGGGGGGAAGGTGCAGATAGCTCACAGCCCAAGAGGTGGGCAGTCCTAGTCCAGCCTTGACTTTGGAGCTGGCTTTGGCCTGGGGCTTAAGGCTCACTCAGGGCAGAGCCTGGGTCAGCAGCCCAGAGGCCCCAAGGCTGTCAGCAGCTGGGTTCCACATAGTTCCCTGGGAAGAATCCAGTCCCCTCTGAGCTGACGCCCTCACACCAGCCATTGGAGTAGCGGCGGGTGATGCAGATGATGGTGCCCTCAGAGAAAGAGAGCTCGTTGTCCTTCTGGCGGATGTATGGGTACAGTGTCACCACTGCAGAGCAGAAGGAGAGGGTGCTGTGAGATGTGCCTCCTGCCCCACCATGGAGATGCAGGGGCCCACATTCTGGATTCTAGCAAGCACCTAGGAGAGAAGGCTGCAGGGGGTGCCTTCTCCCAAGCCCTGGGAACTTCTCCCCAGCTCCTTTAATAACAATACCAGGCCAGCTGCTTCTTCCCAACTTGGTTCTGGGGGACTTCCGGGTGAACATTGCTCATTTCATCAGCATTTGGGCAGGAGGGGGAGGAAGGGCAATAGGCCCATAATGCCGCTGGGGTTGAAGAGTTGGGGGAATCCTGGTGGTGGGATCTGGTGCCCTTCAGTCCTAGGAATCAGGTACCTTTTTCCAAGTACGAAGCAGGGACCCAGCTGGGCTCTTCTGGCCCAAAGCCTGGAGGAGGCGGAGGCAGCAGTTCCAATTCATCTACATCCAGGGGTGGAGGGGGGGGCAGGTCCAAGGGCTGGGGCAGTTCTGGGTCTGGGAGGGAAGGCAGAGAGATTGCAAGCATGGCACAGGCAACCCCCTCCATTCACCCTAGGAAACTTCGAGCAGCGTGCCAGGGTCCACCCATCTTATGTAACCTTCCTCCATCCCTGGTCCATGGTCCTCCCACAATGCCTCTAGCACATAGTAGGTGCTCAGTAAATACTGAACCTTTGGACAGTATTTACTGAGTAAGGTAGGGTAGTCAGACCGCCTCTTAGCTGGATGACCATTGGGCAAGTCAATTAAACCTCTCAGTCTCAGCTTCCCTTGTGAAGCGGGAGTGTGAAGATCCTCTTAGAATTGTTAAAGTGAGAAGCTTCGAATCCAGGGCCTGGTTATAAAGCAGACGCTAAGTTATGTTCGTTTTCTCCCCCTTCTCTCTCCTGTTATCCCTACCTAAAACAAAACCTTCACTGAGGTGGGCCCGAGTAGATCCAAGAGGGTTGAGGAGGTATATCGGGAGCTGAGAGAGTGACCCCACAGTTGATCTAGAAGGAGAGGGCCGAGCTCCTTACCGGGCAGAGGCAGGGACAGTTCCTCCATCGGAGGGGGCAGCAGGCAGATATCGGAGGCTGGCGGAGGAGGTGGGGTCATGGAGCTGGAGAGCGGTAGGGGCGCTGCCTGCCCTTTGGTCGTGGAGACCCCACCAGCACCTTCAGCGCTGCTGAAGATCAGAGAAAGCGTGGATCGGCTAGGTTGGGGGACACCGTCCCCAACTCAGGATCCCCAATTCAGGATCCCCAACTGGCCCCGCCCTTGTGATCCCGAGTCCTCTCAACCCTAGTAGTCACTGTGACAACTGGCTGGAAACCCCTCTCAACGCCCCCTGCCACGGCCACCCCTAACTTGAACTTGTGGGGCTCACCCAGCCGAGGCCAGGGAAGAGGCAGATGAGGCGGCGGAGAGTTTGCCGTCGGGCGCCACCGGGAGCTGCACGATCTCCGGGATCCGGGGAGGTCTCCTGGGTTGTGGGGAGAGGGGAGGGGTGTCCTCTTGAGAGGAGGAAGGCTTCCGGCAACGAGCAGGGGTCAGGTGCGGGGAGGAGGGGACAGCTGGCGGAGGAGGAAGTTTGGCGCCCAGCGTGGAGGCGAGGGTGGGGGAGTTGAGTTTCAGGTTCGAGTGGGGTTGGTTTGGGTCGCGGCGAGGCCTCACCCCAGGGTGGCGGAGGCGGGTGTGGTAGGCGCCTTGATGCTCTTGCGAGACAGGGTCCCGGTCCGCGACAGCTGCGTGCTCAGATCCTGAGGGGAAACAGGGCGGTGGGGCTGACATCGATGGGGGGTGCGGGCAGTAGCCCCTTTCATCCCAGGGAGAAAACGGGGCAGCGGAGGACGAGAATTGGGAGGGAAAGCACGGGCACAGCAAGTTCTTACTTCCACTTCCCAACCCCCTCTCCCACTCCACCCCTCCCCCTCTTGCTCGTTGCCGGGGCCTGGGTGCCATGTCTGCAGCAGGCTCCACGGGAACCTCAGAGCACAGACACAGCCCGACGGCCACTTCCTCTGCATGGTCTCAGCGGCTAAGTGGGCCCATCTTCCCAACCCCTCTCTCAAAGCATCTCAGCGCCCAGAGTGGAGGTTCCTAACTTTGATAGACCCCCAACCCCAGCACCAGGCTGAGGATGGTGTGAGAGAAAGGAGAGAACCATCACACTTAGATGTGTCCCACCTGTCATTTTGGCAGGCGTGTGGAACTGGCTTTGGGGGCTTCAGGGCAGAGAGGAGCAGAAATTTAGGGGAGAGAGTACAAATGACAAGGTGGAAATCCACATGCAAGGGAGCCCCTCTGTGACTGATAGGGTCTCCCCAAGAGTGGGTGCACAGGGAATGAGGCCCTCTGCTCTCCTTCACTAGGGACAAAACAAAGGGACTTGAGCTAAAGCCTGAAGAATTTAAGTTGGATAACAAGAACTTACTGGTGGTGAGACCTGGTGACTGAAGGAGGGAGTGTAGCTTCCCCTTTTTGGGGGGAGAGGGTATGTTAAAGATATCAAGGGGTCATTTAGACAAGGAGGAGCTTTAATCTAACCTGGAATGTTGGAGCGTGGGGACAGGAATTGACAAAATGGGATGGGGTATGTGTCCTCTCCCACCTCTAGGAAGGAGATGAGCTGAGAAGAAAATGCCAGGGTCATGCTCCTCTGCCTCCAGCATGTCCCCCTGGAGTGGCTGCATCCCCTCCCCTTCTCACCCAACAGCAGCTCTGAGGTGACTTCTCAGTGTGGTGACCTCAAACCTCCAGACAGAGGAAGTTGCTGTTCTCATGCACACCCTGACAGCCTCCCTTCCCCCTCTTCCCCTTCACACATACACCCAGCACCCACTGCTCAAATGTCACTCAGCAGAACATCTGAGTACAGGGTAAAGGCCAGTTCTGGAGGGAGGAGTCATGAAAGATTTTTAAGGAGGAAGGCTCCTCCTATAAGGAAGACTTGGGGAGTAGGGAGGCTACTCAGGGTGATGGCTTCAGGGACTGAGGAAAGAAAAGGGCTGCGGGTTGGGACAAGGACATGAATGTGGAAGAGAATTGGGGGGCTGGAGAGATGGGAGTCATGAAGCAAAAGAGGAGGGGGTTGCGGAGAAAGAGGAGGAACCCTTCTCTCTACCTTGATCCCATGGCCAATGTCATCCAGGCAACCAAAGTTGAGGGGTCTTCTGGAGTAAGGCGTGAGGGGAGGTAGGCTCTCAGGGGCGATGACTTTCTTGCTGGGGAGCAGCCGCTGGACAGTGGCTAAGGTGCCGATCTCCCTTCGGGCCACCTTCTCCATATGCATGTTCACCATCTGTGTGACAGGGTTTGAAGTGACAGTGGGGCAGCCTCTGTACAGCACCCTTTCCCTTAAGGGAGAAAGAGGATAGAGGCTTTGGGGTGGGGGTAGGGGCCATGGGAGGCAGTGAGGTCCAGATAAAGAGTGAGTTTTGTCTCCAAGGCCACACAGCATTTGAGAAGAGAGTTGCCAGGGGAGGATAGAGCCACTTTGGAGCAACTTCCTGGTGGAAGAGAACGAGGGTTATTATTAGCTGAACAGGAACCAGAGGAAAAGAGAAAACACAGCATCCCTGATGATGCCAGGAAGAGACTGGAGCCCTGGGCTGGCTTGGGAGCAGCGGGGGATAACATGGAGGTGGCTGGGAATGATGACAGGATCAGATCTCCTTTTTGGGGGATGAATAAGTGAATTAATTGCCTCTTGAGATGTTCTGTAGAGAAACAGCACCAAGAGGGTGGGCACTCCAGTCTGTTGGGGTGAGAGGAAAAGACACACCCCACACTGAACATGTGGGTGATGCACAGGCCAGGCTGATGTGTAACTGAATCTGTGCATATGGCTTATGGGGCAATTAATTTCTCAGCCAAGGAACCAGGAAGGAAGGAGGAGGGTGTGTATAACAGATGGGCGGGGGACACTGTGCGGTGGTGGCAGTGCTTCCAGGGCTAAAGATGATCTTGCCAAGCAAGCACTTGGTTTAGGAGATTTATTTAGTCACCGCCTGTGTTTAGATGGAAACAGGGTCCATTTGCCTCTTTCCTGGACTACACAGCCACCATGATTAGTAGAGCCTGCTTTCGACCCGGCAGGGTAGACTTCAGAGAAAGAAAGCTCTGCCTTCAGGGAGTTGCTAGTCTGATGGGAGAGCAAGGCCCAGCACTAAGACATAGGCACAGAGCTAAGGAGGCTCAAAAAGCTTGGGAAGCGCCAAGCTCTTTTGACAGAGTTCGACATTTGGATGTGGAGGAAGGCATGAAAGAAGTTTTGCTGGAGAAAATGCCCAAGTGAGGCTGAAGAGTTGGGGGCTGATGCAAGAAGCCTTCCCATACCCCTTACCTGGCCCAGCGTGCTCACATGGGCTTCCACCTGCCGCAGAGCAGCTGCCTGCAGGTCCAACATGCGCAGCGTGTGCCCCGCCAAGTTGCCCACCTGGTAGGCCACGCTGGCCAGGGCCTGGGTGGTAAAGGACATGGTCTCCTCCAGTGCCTTCCGCTTGTCTGTGGCCTGAAATACACACAGTCCTGGTCTGAGGCCAGCACCTTCTACTGATCCTTGGCTGGGTAGGTGGGATGGGAGAGAGTTCAGGGGAGGCGGGGGCTGAATGGGGAGAAAGCAGCGACCCTATGTTTGAAGTGGTTTCCGTACGAATGATGTTACAGTAAGAGAGACTCAGAGGATGTCAGGAAAGCAAATCTGCAGCCCTGAGAAATGAGTACAAGGGGAAGGACAGATACCTCTGCTCAAAAAGTCAAGCTGCGGATTGACCCTACCACCCTCTTGAGGACCTCTTGGGGCAAAAAGGGTGAATAGTAAGAAAGAGAGAGGAAAGCAATACTAGCTGAAGGAGGTCTCAAACTTAAAACCAACCAAACAACCAATGTCAGGCCTCCACCCCAGACCTTCTAAACCAGAATCCCCTGGGAATGAGGCTGACGAGTCTGTGCCTTTAAAAGCTCACTAGGTGACCTTGTGCTCTGTGTTGAGCTCCAGTCTGCAGGTGGGTGTTTGGGAGCCAATGATCTGGTCCATTTTACAGATAAGGAAATTGAGGCCCAGAGGAGAGTGACCTTATTCATTCATTCCCTCCAGTAGCTTCCCAGTACATGGGGAATAAAATCCAAACTTCTCCCCTCATCCCCTACTGCTCCCCCTCTCGCTTACTTCCCTCCAACTACATTGGCCTTTGGGTTTCTGTTCCTGATCAAGTTAATATTGTTTCTACCTCAGGGCCTTTCCACTTGCTGTACTTCTTTCTAGAATCCTTATTACGTCTCAGCTCCTCAGAGACACCTTCCCTCACCACCCTACAATAATTTACCCCAGCCTACTTCTGTATTGACTCTCTAATACATTTACCCTGTTCTCTTTTCTTCAAAGCACTTAGCACTATCAGCAATTATTTATCTATTTATTATCTACACACACACACACACACACACACACAAATGTAAGCACAGTAGGGCAGGGAGCTTGTGTGTTTTATTCTGGATCCCACTGTGGAATAGTGCTCTCCACGCAGATGAAACTTAATAAACATGCATTGTGAGTTAATTAATGGATTGAATGCAAACCCAAAGATTTGCTGGGCATCTTTCCATTGCATGCCAGATACTGTGCCAGAGGCTGGACAGTGTCACACTGCCAGTCAGTGGTGGAGGGGTGGGCAGGGAGTGGCTGAAGATAGTTTTTTTCAGTCCCGGATCAGACCATGTGAGCTGGAACAAAACTTCTCTGGTAATTGGGTTCCTTAGGCAGCTTCCTCATCTCTGAAGGGGTCATGGAGATGCTGCACTCTAACCTGTACCTTTCTCTGGGAGGGTAAGGGGTAAAACCAGGGCAAGCCTGCAAAGGCCAGTGAACTGACAGGCAAGGTGGCACCATGGGGTCTCCTTGCTAATGGCACTCAAGGCCAGTCAGTGGAGAACAGACATGGAACCTATCAGAGCAGGGTGCTCAGAGAAACCTGGATGCCTCCAAAGTAACCTGAACCAAGCTAGAGCCAAAGGGTAGACCCAGAATCTTCTGAGCTGACCCTCCTGTGTTACTCTTCCCTGCCTTTCTGTTCTACCGGCAGTTAAGAGATGCTCATTTGCATGCAATTTACATTTTATCAGCACATGTAACCAAGTGCCTTAAAAAGGCAAGGCAATCAACCCAGAATCTGGTTAAAACCAGAAAGGATAGCAAGGCTTGTTCTAGTTCCAGACCTTCCTTTAAAAGGTGAGGAAATGAAGGCCCAGATGGAGTCTTTGATCTCCACCCAGATTTCTTAGCTCAACTCTCCTGTACTGTTCCCTCCCTGGACTGGCATGTGGAATTCATCGCTGGATTTTTCCTATCAGCCCAAATAGGAAAAATGTCTGTTTGGGCCCAGCTCTGGGAGTCTAGATCCCTTTGGGTCTTGGACCAAAGTTAGGTCTGGAAGTCAAAGGTTTGGGATCCATCTTCATGGCTGACTGCTTATTTATCATGCAAATTACTCTATCTGTAAACTCGATGGACCTTGACCAAGAACTCTGCAGTTGACCCCAGCCTGCCCTTCCCCCATTGCCCAAGGGTTTCCTGACACTTGGTTGGGGTGGAGGGAAGGGGTGGGGGGAAGATGGAGGGCCTGGGAACCAGGCCTTGTTCAAGAGCAGTTCTGAGAAGTCATCTAAACCCTTCCTAGGGATTTGCTCCCCAAAGACCCTCAGAGAGGCCAGGAGAGGTCACTGGTTGTGTGGTCTAGTAGTTAGTGTTCTGCATGAAGGAAGCAGGAGCCCAGGGATTCTGACCTGGGTCAGAGCTTCTGATGCCCTGGGTGTTTTGCAAGTGCTGCTTCGCCTCTCTAGAAATGACTTTTGTTATCTATATGTATCACTCATTCTTCTGATAAATGATGATCATCATCATAAGAAGAATAAGGGTTAACAGCTGCCATTTATCCTGGCCTTCTTAAGGGGCAGACACTGGGCTAAATGCTTCAATACATGATCACATTTAACCCATGTGACCCCTGTAAAGGAAGGTATAAGAATCAGAGGGGAAATTTGCCACCAGTCCTGTAGTTAGTAGGTGGCAGATGGGAAATTGGACTCAGGTCTTCGTGCCCTCAAATCCTGTGTGCACACTGTGTACAAATGAGAACCCACCCGGAAGTGCTTTGAGACATGCAGAAGTTATTGAAGGAATGGGAAGGAGTGCTTCCATTCTCATGGACAGGAGTGTACCTGCCAATGCCATGAGAATGGAGCTGGCATATAAGCCACGTTCCATTTCATCTACAAGTTGGTCATTCAATACCTATACAGACAGAAATTGTACCCTGGGTAGCGTTTTCAGCTAGAGGTTTGGTGGGTGTGCTCTGGAGTCAAAATTACGGGTTAAAGTCCAGGTTCTGCCACTAGCTTGGAGACCTTTGGGAAAGTGAGTTACCTTTCTTAATTTCAGCCTCCAGGTTGTGAAAAGGGAGTGATTCTCACCTCACAAGACAGGGGTGAGGACAAAAGGAGGCACCTGCACCTGCCCAAAGAAAAGATGCAGAGCTTTTTAACTGTTATCACTGATTCTCTTTAATCTGCCATTTTCCCATAAGAACTTGCTCCTTTTATTATTAATTTTTTCAACACTCCTACTGATCTGGGAGGTCCCTGTGCTTCTTTCCACAGTTTGGTTAGAATAAGTTAGAAAAGTGAAGTTTTGCCCAGGGGATAACAGGGTTAGCCTGTAGCTCTTAAAGGAGCAGAGAAGACAGTACAGAGAGCCATACAGCATGTCAGGGAGGCAAGAAGGTGGAGAGAGCTCGGTTTCAGAAGTCAGAAGGCCTGGGTTGATGCCTGAGTCTACTATTTCCAAGCTGTGTGACCTTGGGCAAGTCGCCTCACCTCTCTGTGCTGCTATTTCCTCATCAATAAAATAGGAATAATAATATTTGTCTCACAGGTGGTTATGAGGATTAATGAAATAACAGAGGTGCTCAGTCGGTATTAAGTTTTTCTCATCCCTCTTTCCTTGATTCAAGAATCCACATGCTCTGTCCTGCGATAACCATGCAAATTAGGAAACTGTTCTAAAATGCCACTGTCCTGGTCTTTAGTTGGTAACCTGCTCCTAGCAGTCATGTTGTCCATCCCCCCACCGCCACCCCCATTTCAGACCCCCTCTCTTTAACCCAGACTAGTCTGATGTCTCTCCACTTTCCCTCTCTTTCTCTGGTCCATTTCAAGTTCACTGAAATATTTGGGAAGTTCTGAAGCCTCACCTAGGGCCAGCCTGAAAATGAAATGACAGCACCAACATTTGTGTGAGGACCAGGCTTTGGGTCTGGGGATATGAATGAGAGGCTGGGAAGGAGATGAACCCAGGTTGAGGCCTGATAACCGGATGGAACAGCACTGCCTGCCCAAACATCCCGGAGGCTTTGGGAGAGAGCAGGGGAAAGTTGGGGCTTGGGTAGCATGAGGTCTCCGGGGACTGGGTTGAAGCTGAGGCCTGGAGTGGGAGGATTTCTCGGCCAAAGCCCAGGACAAGCACCTGTCAGGATGGCTCCCACAGCCTCACCCTGGGGATGGGCTCTGGGCCCCTGGAGGGGCTGGGGTGGTGGGGCCTGTGCCGGCTCTGCCTACCTGCACATAGTTGTTCTCGCAGTAATCAGCCACTCGCAACAGGGCGCTGTGGTTGCCCCGCAGAGCCTCCCGGCCTGTGGGGATCTCAAACTCCTGCAGCTGCTGCAGCTCCTCCATCGCCCCCAGCCTCTGACGGGCTCCCCAGGGAGCTGCTGGTTTTGTGCCTCACCCTGCCCTTGATTGGTCGCTCTGCCTTCCCTTCTCTCTCACTGCTTTTGGTTTCCTCTTCGTGTGAGACCCAAACCTGCTTGCAAAGGGCAGGCATGCTCATTCCAGGACAAGAGGAAGTTAGTCCCTGCTCCCTAGGCATGCGCCTCTCTGTCCCTTGCCCAGAGGAAGGGGGAAGCCAGTTGCCCCTTTGGGGGCCCAGCCCCCCAATCCCTCCCAGCAGAGGAAACCAAGGTCGGGGCAGCTGTGATTGCTCGCTGGGCCTGGAGAGGAAATGTTTGGTGGGGGATGGGGTGGGAGGCCGTGGAGGAAGGGGGCTGGCCTGCTCTGGGAGGGTGGAGGTGGACTTTCCACTCATGGAAGGGGAGGAAAGGGCAGAGGGTGGGGGCTTCCTTGGGAAGCCCAGGGATGAGTCACCAAAGGACAAGAGAGTGGAGGGTGGAAAGGATATGGAGACCAGTCATGCTGGGGGCTGTCGGGTAAGGGAGTAGCAACAATGGAAAACAGACAATGCCGCAGCAAGAAGAATCGGCCAGACATCAGGAAGATACAGCCAGAGGGCCCCTGAGAAGTGCTATCAAGCCTCTGAAGGGTTACGTGTGGTGAAGCGCTGGTGTACAAGTTCTGTGCCCAACGGAAGCAGGACAAGGTGAAATGGACCAAGTGTATGGTGAGGGACTCAGACTAGACAACAGGAAGGACTTGGCTTTGAGAAGCACCGGGGTCAGTTTCCAAATGAACTGATCAGGTTTAGGGAAGCAGGGGTGTATGATAGAGCACTGAGCCAGCTTCAGGAGGTAAGTGCTCTATTTCCTGCATTAACAGGGGAGCTGGACTAGATGCCCTCCAGGGTCCTGCCCTGCTCTCAAATTCTTAGAGCTCGCAGCTGTGAGTGGAACTCAGATCCTGGAGCAGGGGAAGTTAGGGTGGAATCTGGGCCCTCCCACTGCCCAGAGGCAGGAGAAAAAGAGGATTGCTCAGTGACCATATTGGTCGCTTAACGTCTGCCCCTCAAGAGGGTCCCCTTGTCACTGGACACGCATCAACCTGAGCAGCTCAGTGTCTGTCATCGTGGGTGGTCCTGGGAGGACACCAAGAGAAAGATCAGGATACAAGCCCTATGCTGGAGGACTGCTGAGGGAGACCCACACCCAGGGCTCGGAGGTGTGGAGGCACAGAAGCATGGACACAGACATTAGAGGTGGCCGCGGCCCCAAGTACTAACTGGCACAGCAGCCTATGTGAGTACATCTTTATTGAACGAGTAAGTGAAGAGTGAGCTGGGGAAAGCTTGTACGGTGAAATTGTGGGGCTCCAATGGGGGACACAAAGGCTTCTTGGGCGAGGGAAGTTAGGAGCTCGTCTAGGACTTGCCTCATTGGGAATAGCCTCAGTGCCTCTCAGAAGTAGGGAAGGGGGAGGGCTTGGGAGAGAAGGCAGGGGGAGGGGAGCATGTAGGGCTAGAGGGAGGTGAGAAATGGGGAAATAGGCTCTAAACCAGACGGATCACAAGGCAGGGGTCTGCTCTGATGGCAGTGACGGCTTGAAGGCTCAGGCTGATGGATGGGCTTACAGCCATGAGCCTATGATCAGCTTAGGCATCAGAGATTTGGGCTCAGACCATCTGCTTTATCCAAAGACTTTCAGCTGATGAGGAGCTGGGACCCTCAAACACCATCTTGTCTGGGTCAGGACAAGTGACTTGAAGTGCATGCTTTTTCTTGGCAGGTAAGAAGGGCTGAGGTTGTATTGAACTGGGATATAGTCTTAGAATTATTGAGGTTAGGTATCAGACAGAACTTTCTGATAACTGTGTAGTGATGCTGTTGATGATGGTGATAATAATAAATGTAGTAAGTGTTCATTATGTGCCTGGCAGTGTATTAAAATATTTTACTCTTTTTTTTTTTT